TTAATTTTTCTGAGCTTTACTTCCTCATCCATAAAAACAGAATAATAATCCCTATCCCTTTTATTTCATTGCTGTAAATATAAAAACAATATAAAAACTATATGAAGTGAAAATCATCATGACTATTACTGTTCCCAGCCTTAGTCCAAGAGTACTGCACAGCATATTGCAAAGCTCTCACTTTATGCACATGTTCTCCTTACTTCTATCATTTCCTAGAACAAACTAAGCCATTCCATAACCACCAGCCACAATTACCAGGCTCTTGCCCATCTTTCCTAGAATTATATACTACCAACACCACGGAGACTGAAAATACTATTTCTATAATTTTATCATGGCCCTGGGGGTAAGTCAAAGAACTCCAAAGAAGCAAATATCAGGAGGTATAGCTCAATGGTAGAACACATGCTTAGTATCCACAAGACCCTAGGTTCAAACCTTAGCACCACTACCACAAGAGGAAGAGGAGAGGGGAGGGGAGAGGAGAAGAGGAAAAAGATGCAACCATTAGAGAAGAAAGAAGATGGTGTCTTAATTCATCACTTCTATTTCCATCTTTCTCTGAAGGCTGAGTTCCTACTCCAGCCCTGTCCCTATCAGAAGTAATGTGCAGATAAATGAACTGAAGCCAAATATAATCCACAGTAAATGCTCCCTCTCCTGGCTTGATTGGAAAGAATCAAGTTTTAATACTAATCTTCAATATCACAATAATTAAATCAGCCTTGGATTACTAAAAATATAATTAAAAGGTCATTATTGAAAAGACTAGCCACTAGAAATAGCTGTACTCCAAAAGCCAATGCAATTTTATTTTCCACATCATATATTAATTTTTCTAAAAGTACCAAGATTAGTGTATACCTATAATCCTAGTACTCTGAGAGATTGAGGCAGGAATATCACAAATTCAAGCCTGGCCTGGGCAACTTAGTGAAACCCGATCTCAAAATGAAAAATGAAAAAGGGCTGGGGATGTAGCTCAGTGTGAAGACTCTGGATTCAATCCTCGGGACTGCAATAAATAAACATAAACATATCAAGATTTAATTCTTCCAAAATCTTTGCCATTTGCTATCATCTTGAGGAAATGAGAATAATTTCTACTAACTTGGATCTGATTCTGTCTGCCTGTCTGTCTATGCTGTGCTGGATACTGAACCCAAGGGCTTGTACATACTCAGCAAGTGCTCCACCAAGTTACATCAGCAGCCCTTTTTACTTTGAGACAGGGTCTTCCTAAGTTGCCCAGGCTGGCCTCTGACCTGCATCCCATCTATCTCAACCTCCTAAGTAGCTGGAAGTTCAGGTGTGCACCACCACACCTGGCTTCTAACCATACTAGTCTTAATAGCTCATATTTATCAAGGAAAATTGTGTGACCAATTAGGCAATTTTATCATCATTTAACAAAGATACCCAGAGTTAACATCTTTATTTCATGAAGCAATTATACAAATTGGAGGACTAATGTTGGGAAATGGAGAAATAGATCTTTTGCAAATGGGAAGAAGACCAAGAGATGGAAGGAGAGGGGAAGGGGATATAAAAAGAATTAAGATGTGTTATGTACCATTCATAACATCATATATACATTCATTTAACCCTCACAACTACACTATGAATATGGAACTATTATTACTACCATTAAGCTTTTTTTGTGTGTGACAGGTCTTGTCATGTAGTTCAAGCTGGCCTTAACCTCACTATGTAGCCCAGGGTGGCCTAAAACTCATGGTGACACACCCACCTCAGCAACCCGAACACTGGGATTATAGGTGTGTACCACCATGCCTAGTTTTATCATACCACTTTTAAAATTTCTATTAGTATATATTTGCAGTACATAATGATTACATTCATCATGGGGGGTTGGTACATGTACATAACAATCTTAATTCTTATTACTTCTTCCTCTTCTCCCTCCCCTTTCCTTTATCTCTTGTTTCCCTTCTACAACACCACTTTTTTATGGATGAGAAACAAAGGCACAGAAATGTCAAGTGACTTGCTTGAAGTCATGTAGCTGGTGGGGTAGATTCAGCTGAGATTCAAACTCAATCCGATAGACTTTAGAGTCTGCTCTACATCTTTACACCATGCACTTTCATTATTCTTGGGGGTAAAAAAAACCTTACCTTTCTTATGTTTCAAGCACAAATATGCATACACATAGTACAGATATATTCTGATATATAATACTACTGATATATACATAGTTTTAAAATTTCATGAAGGCAGCAATTAGGAAAATATTGTAAAAAGGCTACAGAGGAAAAGTCAGGGGAGATCATAAAAAAAGGACTACAAAAACCCCATAGCTTTATCCTACACAGCCTTTCTTTTTTCAACATGGAGCTAAGAATAGTTCTCTGTTTTGCTAAGTGAAAATGGCCTGTCATTCATTGTTTCATTGACTAAATATGAATTATTATATCATCATAATAATGTCTGAATTATGTATCAGGTATTAGATATAAAATGATGAATAGATCATAAAGTACCCTTTCTTTAAGAAACTATCAGCCTGCCAAATAAGCAGACAAATTCAACACAATGTGGGCCAGGGATTTAGCTCAGTGGTTTCGCTGCCTGCTGCACAAGCGCAAGGACCCAGTTTGATCCCCGGTACCAAAATAAAAAAAAGAAAAAGAAAGAAAGAAAGGGAACAAATTCAACACAATGTGATACATTCTAACCAAGCTTGAGAGGCAGGGACAGTTTCATGAAACAGATGTTGTCTCAGCTGGATCCAATGGAAGAGTAGAGATTAGCCAACGTCAAGGGAAAAGATGAAGGACGGAAAGAATGGTGCCTCAGGCAGAGATACCAGCATGAACAAAGACTCAAAGTCAGGAGGACCTCATCAACCAAGCAAAGAAATCTTCAGTTTACTTTGAGGGAAACGGCAAGCCCCTGAAAGGCTTTATGTAGAATTGTGCTTCAGAAAGATTCCTTTGGCAATGTAAAGGACATATTAGAAATGCAAAGTAAACCTCAGTTGCCCGTGAACTAGCACAAACAAGCAACAAGTGGGATCTCTTCTTATTAAAAGGCTTCTGCACAGCAAGAGAAACCACCAGCAGTGTGAAGAGACAACCCACAATGTGGGAAAAAATCTTCACCTGCTCTTCCTCAGACAAAGGTCTACTAGCTCGAATCTATAAAGAACTTAAAAAGATCAGACCTCCCAAATTTAAAGACCCAATCCAAAAATGGGCATCTGAAATGAACAGACATTTCTCAGACAAAGAAGTAGAAATAGCAAATAAATACATGAAAAAATGTTCAACATCACTGGTCGTTCGAGAGATGCAAATGAAAACAACGCTGAGATTTCACCTCACCCCAGAAAGAATGGCTGCTAACATGAAATCAACCAATAACAAATGCTGGTGAGGCTGTGGGGAAAGAGGAACCCTGCTCCACTGCTGGTGGGAGTGTAGACTGTTGCAACCACTGTGGAAATCAGTATGGAGATACCTCAAAGAACTAGGACTGGAAGTCCCATTTGACCCCGCTATTCCACTGCTTGAGATCTTCCCCAAAGAATTAAAAGAATCATACCACAGTGATATATGTGCGCCCATGTTCATAGCAGCACAGTTTGTAATAGCTAAAACTTGGAAACAGCCCAAATGTCCATCAGCTGGAAACTGGATCAAGAAAATGTGGTTTTTTAATAATGGAGTACTACTCAGCCATAAAAAATGAGAAATCAGAGACATTTATAGCTAAGTGGATGCACATTGAGGCAATACTCTTAAGTGAAATAAATAGGACACACATGAATAAATTCCGAATAGTTTCTCTGGTGTGAGAAACTGAAAGTGTAAATAAGGACTAAATGTATAATAGGTCATGTGAAATAGGAAGAAAAGGGGCAAAGGGGAAGGAAGTGGGAGGGCTAGGGGAAAGGATAGAAGGGAATGGGATTAATATGAGAAAATTGAAAAATAGGAACAAAATCTTTGTAAATAGGGAGGAATGGAGGGGTTCAAGGGAGGGCTGGGCAAGGGTGAAAAATAAGAACCAAGAGAGACTATGTAAAGGTGCAAATTTCCAATGATGAATGTCATTATATTGTATACCTAAAATGTACCAATGATTAGAATGAATAATCGAAAATATAAAATAGGAAGAAAAGGTCCAAAGGGGTAAGGGTAGCGGGAGGGGCAGGGGAAAGGAAAGAAGGGAAAGGAAAAATGATGAGAAATGGAAAAAATGGAAATAAAGTCTTTGTAAATAGGGAAGGGTGGAGGGGGAGGGCTAGGAATGGGGAAAAAATAAGAACCAAGATGCATTATGTAAAGGTACAATTCCCAATGAGAAATGTAATTGTGTTGTATACCTACAATGTACCAATAAAAGAATTTAATAAAAAAAAAAAAAGAAAAAGAAATGCAAGGTAAATACAAGACCAATAGGAGGCTATTATAAAAATAAAACATAATATATAGTGGTTTTTTGTGTTTTTTTTGGTAGGGGATGGGGTTGTACTGGGGACTGAATCCTGAGCTATATCCCCCCACCCCCATTGTTTTGTTTGGTGTTTTTTTTTGTACCGGGGATCGAACTCGGGAGCTTGTGCTTAGGAGGCAGGCAACAGCACCACTGAGCTAAATCCCCAGCCCAGGTTTGTTTGTTTTTTGAGACAGGGTCTCACTAATTTGCCCAGGCTGGCCTTGAACTTCTGATCTTCCTACCTCAGTTCTCCCAAGTAGCTGGGATTATAGGTATGTTCCACTGTGCTCACCCATAGGTTCTTTCTCATACCTGGCTAGCAGGTGACAGTTACTATATTCTACAAATTTCAAGTGATTAAGCAGTTATGTTTCTGTCTCTTTTACTCCACATCCATTACTAACAATAATAAAGGTTAAAATAGCCTTCTGGGACTTGTAGGTCTTGTGTCACAAAAATACAAAACTGAAAACTTGCATTGCAAAGTGTTAAACAATTTGAAAGATTGTTCTCCAAGAAAGTCAATTACTTACAGTGCCTTCAACCTCTGAATAGAGTCCTGACCAGAAGCTGAAAGTACTTTTATCCAGCTGATAGAGTCGAGATTTCTCAAATGTTTCAGAATCCATGATCTGTTCTAACTCCGGTGGTACATGAGTTGTTGTTTTATATATCCTTCTCTGAAATATTTTGAAGAAAGCATTTTAGTGAAATATTTATTATAATAGGAATTTATGATCAAACACTGGGTGATTAATGTAGCATTAACTTGTCAATTAAACCTGCAGAATGTTTCATACATACACAAATACTGCATTTGTCAAGTACGGTAACCACAGAAACAAGTGATGCAGACAGGTAAAACCAGAACAAGAGGATCTGAGGCTAGCTGACTAGGCAGAATTAAAGTCGAGGTTGTTATCATACTCCAGTTTGTCAAACAAAGTTGTAACATCCCAAGAACACTATTCACTGTATGATACACATAGTATAATACAAAAAACTAATTTATGAAAAAGAAGTAAACCTGCCAACCATGAGTATTAACAGATATTGTGGTTGGTCATTAAGGGAGATTTGAGAAACAGCAGAAACTATCAGGTCTCCAACACCACTTTTCTCATAAGATTCTAAAAAATAATCCCAGCCCATGGGACATAACACAGGGAACAAATACCAAAAAACCCCAATAAACTGCATCTTCTATAATGATTTTACAACACATGCTTTCCTAATATACAAGGTATGATCAAAATGTATGTTCAACTTAAATTTTTAAAAATGTATTAAAAGACATTGCCATTAATTCTCCTCAAATTATCCCTGCAAATTATCTGGCTCTTCAAGAGCCAGAAGTTGCATGCGCCAGATCCAGTGAATAAGGTAGGTAAGGATATACTGCAATGTTTTTATTTGACAGAAAATGCCAGCCAGGCATGGTGACACATGCCTGTAATCCAACCATTTGGGAGGCTGAGGCAGGAGGATCACTGCGAGTTTGAGGCCAGCCTGGGCTACACAGTGAGTTCAAGGATAGCCAGAAGTACATACTGAGACCTTAACTCCAAAAAAAAAAAAAAAAGCCATAAATGTTTTGAATCAACTCAGGACATTAAAGTAGTCATGAAAAGACATTCTCAAAAGAAAACTCCCAAAACTGCTTCAGAAAGTGGCAGGAATGATGGCATAAGTATGTTTGAAGAAAGGAAACCTGTTTTGAGGGGGATTAATAACAATGTGCCTTCTACTGTAATAATTTTATTTAAACATTCACTGTAGTTTGTGATCATACCTCATATTGTATCAATAGAAGCTGAAGGCATTAAAGCTACTCAGTAAAGATACTACGAAAGAGCTGGGCATGATGGGGCACACCTGTAATCCCAGCAGTCTGAGGCAAGAGGATCACAAGTTCAAGTTCAAGGCCAGCCTGATTACATAGTAATTTCTTTTTTGTTTATTTTTGAGACAGGGTTTCACTGTTAATTTAGGCTGGCCTTGAATTCACCATGCAGCCCAGGTTGGCCTCCAACTCATGGCAATCCTCCTGCCCCAGTCTCCTGAGAGCTGAGGCCACAGGCGTGCACCACCATGCCCATGCCCTACAGAGTAAGTTCAAGGCCAGCCTGATGTACAAAGTAAGTTCAAGGCCAGCCTAAACTACAAAGTAAGATTCTGTCTCAAAAAACAAAACAACAAAAAGGTACTACCAAAAAGTTGTCGATGGAATAGTAATTAAAGACAGATGTTCAATATCTCACCCATCAATTTTGACATCACATATGTACTGTGTGTTTTTTACTTTTTTGAAAGGGATCTTCTACAGACTAGCAATATTCTGTACTAAGGAAGCTATTCAACAGCTCTGTTGGAGTATTTAATTTTACAACTCAATACCTATTTGAATATACTGGACTAACGGTAGATTGACATATAATTTAGACATTGACAGAGAAAAATTAAAACTTTCAGTGTAAAGATTCATGCAGAATGCAAACTGACAGGAGAAATTTGCAGAAGAAAAACACTTATATTCAAGAAAAAAAGAGTTCCAGCAATTAAAAAGAGAGAGGTTTTCGTAACCATCATTACTGACACACAGTTAAGTCCCAGATTACGATTTTCTGTGCCAGGAGAACATTCACAAATCAGATTGTTCATAAGTCCTACAAAGTGAGTCTCATACACCATTAACACAAATATACAATGTATATTGTTTTGCACTCTCCCCTCCACATCACCACTGGTTTTCCTTTTGCATCCAGACGTCCTGGGCTCTGACTGAGCACTGTACTACTGTACACTACCATACTGTGCGTAAGCACAGAGCAGCGCAACTGTGATAATGTCCCGCAGACACCAGGGCTACTTCTGCAATTTGTTCATATCTAATGCAAGCTCCATTAGGATCTGTGAAAGTTTACAACTCAAATGTTCCTAAGTCTGAGACTTGATGTATGTAATTCAGTGACAACATAAGCCTAAGAAAAGCAAACCACCTGGGTGTGGTGGCACACACCTGTGATCCCAGCACTGGGGAGGCCAAAGCGAGATGATTGCCACAAATTCGAGGCCAGCCTGTGCTACGTAGCCTGAACTAGAGAGTAAGACCTTGTCTAAAAAAAAAAAAAATTAAGAAAAGCAAACCAGCAGTGACACTGCAATAAAACCATCAATTAAACTTATTTTCATTTAAAATTCAGATCTCTAACCTATCAAGCTGTTAACTATGGTTATCCCCTGGGAATTGTAACTTTCACTTTCTTTTTTAAAAAATTATTTTATTTTATTCCATTTCCCCTCTTAACTTTCACTTTCTATTTCACTACTTTAAAAAAAAAAAAAAACTTTAACCCAGGGCTTCCCGCGTGCTACTAAGCTACATTTCCAGCCCTTTTTAGTCTCTATTATGAGACAGGTGTCATTAAGTTGGCCATGCTGTCCTCCACCTCTCTCTCTCCTGCCTCACCCTCCCAGTACTAGGGATGACAGGTTTGGGGCCACCGTGCCCAGCTATTTAAATATTTTTATACAAAAATAATGAAGACTCATGAAAAACAATAAAATGCTTTTTAGTCATAAATACATGCACTGTGAGATTTAAAAAATAGTGCAAGTCCTTACAAGAACTGCAAAATCTTTTTTAAAAATGGTTTCCTGACCCTGCCACGAGGAAGTTGTAATTCCTTTTGAAGTCTTGCACCAAAGAAAAAAGAGGCCAAGTCTGGAACCAAAGATCCTAAAAAGCTGGAGTAAATACAATCTCGAGCTTGACGAGGAAGTAACCCTTCCTTCCCTTTCTAAGGCTCAAACAGGCTTGGGTCCCATGTTAACGTTCGAAAAGCTTCCCTGCGGAACCAAGAACCCCTCAAAGCCACAGCTCGCCGCTGGGCCAAATTAGGGGGCTCAGTAGAGACTACGGGGTCGAGATTGGCCCTGGGGCCGGAGCAGGCATCAAGGGACATAAGGTCAAGGCCCTGGCTACCTTAGGGCTGACCGAGGGCTGGGGTCAGTGGGTCCTGCCAAGGCTCACCTGCCGCTGTGCTAGGAAGGTCTCCCAAAGATACACTGTCCAGGAAAAGAGCAAAACTGCCCCGAAGATAACCTTCTCCGCCGGCAACTCCCACATCGCGTCCAACGACGCCCACATCCCCATGGCCACCCCGTTCCGCCCGCTTCTTCAGCGTGCACCGGTGCCACACCAACACCCGTCCCCGCAGAGCGTCCTTGCGGTGTCACAGCGATGTCTGTCCCTTCCGAGTGCCTCTACACTAACACACGCCCTCATCCCACGTCCTCCGGCTATCCGCAGCGTCACAAAAACACTCTTCCCCTGGCCTTAAGGCCCCGGAGTTTCTGCTAAAGAAGGACCGGCCCCACCTTCCTCACTTCCGGCCCGAAATGGTTGGGAGACCGGGCTCCAAGTTCCGGCCCGCGGGCGGTGGCCCACCGACTCCTTCCCCCCCTCCCCCCGGGGTTGTGGCTTTCATAACCCAACTTTGCTGTCGAGGCCTCCGCTTTCTCACCTCTGCAGCGGCAATTCTCTTGGGTCCCTTGGGTTGGCGGGTTGCCCAGAGAGGGGTGCAGTATCTGCTGTCCTTTCCCTGGCTGGAACAAACCAACTGATAGTCAAGGGTTTAGCGGGAACTGACACGGAGTGGGCGGGGAGAGGCGTCCACCCCCGCCCTCCGGTAGCTGGGAAGACAAGGGAGCGACCCCAAAATCGTGTCTCGACTGGCAATTGCTGTTCAGTGCATCCCTGGGATGTCTTAAGAGCGAAGCGAGACGTTACTAATAGAGCATTTGGGTCTGGATTGGGGCGCTCTGGTTCCAGGCATACTAGAGAGCTGAAAGTGACGGTAGTGTTCATTTTCGTTTACAAGTCTCTTATCATCCAACCCAAGTGTAGTCAGAGGCAGCTTTTTGCGAGCAAGGCTGGGATAGCGTGGTTACAAATTCCTGAAATGAGAGGCCCGTGTTTAATCTAGGAGAGAAACTCCTATCAAGGTGCAGTGTCATTTCTGTCCTGGAAATCAGACGTGAAATTCCTGGAATGCTTGTTAAATTTGTTTCACTTGAAAAGCCAGCTCAGAATTTTTTCTAACCAAAAGTAAATCTGATGTGGTTAATGGATTTGATAGCATGGTGTTGGTAATTTGCATAATTGTTGTCTCGGATAAATTGAGCTAAATCTGTAGCTCCGACTAAAACATTTAAATTTCAGTGATATTATAATGCTGAAGATCTGTTAGAATTGATAGTGTCTCAGGCTTCTCAATACTGTCTAAATTCCTCTGAGAGTAATCAGTCAGTATAATTAAATCACTTAAAGTGAATAATGAGTGTAACAGGATAATAAATTTTTGCAAATCAAAGGTTTTCCAGTTCTTTTGTTTTCAACAAAATTAATAGTGGACCCATTAATTGGTCAGTTAATGAAGGAACAGTATTTGATTTTTGCACTATAACTTGGAGAGAAACCAAAGGATTGGTTGACATTACTAAAACTACTAGCATTCTCATCTATTTAATATTTCTTAGTACTGATATGTATGAAAAACAAAAAGGAATAGAAACTGAACCCTGTTGATTTAGCAGTCAGAAATATTCATCAAGAGATATGAGTTGATTAGTGTAAATGCCCTGTCCATCCTACTTTGAGATACACTCTCAATAGAATCTTACTTTTATGTTTATATACGCTCAGAATTTGTAGTTGCGTCATTTTGACAAAGTACTGTACATGCTAAAGATAATTTCAATTATAATTCAAAAGAATTACAACACATAGAGCCATAGTTACAGAAAAATTTTAAACCTTTAATACATATATATCTTATTGCAAAGAAGTTATCAATAAAAGGTTTTTCAAACATCAAAATATTACATCTGAATAACATTGTCTTTTCTGAATAACACTTCATTGGAGAGTAGAACCTAAATATAAATTAGAGGTGATAAAATAAGGTTGAAAAGCTCATTTGTGTATTTTTTATTTAATTGTTATCATATGTAGGTTCTTTGGATAATTTATATAAGCAATTTAATAGTTTTATCCTAAAAATGTCAATTTGCCAGGATTTGCACCTATTGCAACTATTTAAATTTATAATGAAAAATTTAATTATCAGCTTAAATATATGAAGCAATAAACATCTTCAAAGTTTTCTTGGCCATTGTTGCTATGCCCCCTTTATTCTTCTTTTCTTCTTCTGTGAGTCCCACGCCTCGCAGAAGCTTTCACCACCCAAAATTTGTAGCTAAGAACACAAGTTTAGTGTTAGGCTGCTTGAGTGCCAGTCATAGTTAGATCACATAGCTCCTTAAGCCCTCTGTGTATCAGTAAAACAATAATGGTACCTATGTCCTTCTATCGTTAGGATCAAGAGAGAAAATGTATATAAAGCTTCTCACAGAGTACATTGGCCTGCATAAGTGTCCAGTAAGGTTAGCTATTGGCTCTTCATGTTTGGGAGAATGGCAGCAGAGCACTGATCCATGTGTCTAAAGAGACAGGAGAAGAAACCAAAAGCTGGTATGAAGTTTCAAAACACCAAGACTGACTGGAGCACACTTTCAAGAAATGTCTGCAAAATACCCAAAGCTTATGTTCTTACTGGACTAGCGTGTATGGAATGGTAGATGATAAGCAAATACATCAAAGGAAAAGTAGGGGTAGTGATAAGTGCTATGAGGTAAGAGCAGAGAAAGGGGGAATACAGCATGTCTGTGGGAGAGGCATTACTTTACCTAAGATGGTCAAGGGAGGTCTTTCAGATCAGCTGATGTTTGAGCACAGACCCCCCTACACACACAAGTAAAAGAAGGCATGTGGGTATCAGTAAAATGCCAATCAGAATAGACAGAAGATGCAAAGACTTTGGATCAGCCAGTGCTTAACATATCTAGCATATCTGAGGAATGATAAGAGGGCATGGAAAGAATGGAAGCAGTAAGGAAGGGAGAGAGTGCAGGTAATGCCATCAGGCATAGTCTCTAAGTTAAGAACCTGATTTTTCTTTCACTCCAAAATCAGGAACAAGACAAGGATGTCCACTGTCACCACTCTTGTTCAGTATAGTTCTGGAGGGCTGGGGATTTAGCTCAGTGGTTCCAGCACCTGCCTTGCAAGCTCAAGGACCCGAGTTCGATCCCCAGCACCAAAAAAAAGTTCTGGAAATGTTAGCCACAGCAATTAGACAAAGGAAAGAAATAAAAAGGAAAAAGGATAGGAAAGGAAGAAGTTAAATTATCATTATTTGAAGATGACATGATATTCTACATAGAAGACCCCAAGAACTCCACCAAAAGACTTCTAGATTTGATAACCAAACTCAGTGGCATAGCTGGATACAAAGTCAACACTCAAAAATCAATAGCATTCCTGTACACAAATAACAAACTCAGTAAGAGAGAAATTAGGGAAACAACCCCTTTCACAATAGCATCCAAAAAATGTAATACCTAAGAATCAATCTAACAAAGGAAGTAAAAGACAACTACATTGAAAACTACTGTACTCTGAAAAGGGAGATCATAGAGGATATATATATTAAAAAAAGGAAAGATATCCATTGTTCTTGGATAGGAAGAACCAATATAGTGAACATGGCCATACTTCCAAAACTGTTATACAGATTTAATGCAATCCCAATCAAAATTCCAACACCCCCCCCCAAAAAAATTCCAACACCCTATCTCACAGAATTAGCAAAAAAATCCCAAAATTAATTTGGAACCAGAAAAGACCTATTAACAAAGGCAATTCTGGGCAACAAATACAAGCAGGGGGTATCACAATTCCTGATCTGAAATTATACTACAAAGCTACTGTGATAAAAACAGCATGGTACTGGCAAAAGAACAGACATGAGTATCAATGGAATAGAGTAGAAGATGGAAAACCAACTCTAGACATATCCACATAATCTTTGACAAAGGAGCCAAACACCTTCACTGCACCAATAAATGGTGCTGGAAAAACTGGCTTTCCACATGCTGAAGATTGAAACTAGATCCATAACTTTCACCATGCACTAATCTAAAATTGAAATGGATCAAAGATCTAAATATTAAAATGGAAACACTAAATCTGCTGGAAGAGAGAATAGGTAGAATGTTTGAGGACATAGGAGTAGGCAATGACTTCATGAACAAAATCCAGACTGCACGGGAAATACTACAAAGAATCAACAACTGGGACCTCATCTGATTAAAAAGCTTTTTCACAGCAAGAGAAACCACCAACAGAGTGAAGAGACGACTCACAGCATGGGAAAAATTTTTCTACCAGCTATTCTAAAAAGAACTTTAAAAAAAATCAGACCCCTCAAATTTAAAGAACCAATCCAAAAATGGGCATCTGAAATTAAAAGACATTTCTCAGACTAAGAAGTAGAAACAGCAAATAAATATATGAAAAAATGTTCGACATCACTGGTCATTTGTGAAATGCAAATTAAAACAACGCTGAGATTCCACCTCACCCCAGAAAGAATGGCTGCTTATCAAGAAAGCAACCAATAACAAATGCTGATGGGGCTGTGGGGAAAAAGGAACACTTCTCCACTGTTGGTTGAAGTGTAGACTGGTACAACCATTGTGGAAATCAGCGTGGAGATTCCTCAAAAAACTAAAACTAGTGGTTCCATTTGAGCCAGCTATTTCTTTCCTTGGTATCTTCCCAAAAGAATTAAAAGCATCATACCACAGCAATATATACACACCCATGTTTATAGCAGCATGGTTTGTAATACGTAACTCTTGGAAATAGCCCAAATGCTCATCAATGTATAAAGAAGATGTAGTTTATTTATACAATGGAGTCCTACTATTCCATAAAGGATGAGCTTCAGACATTTCTAGATAAATGGATGCACCTTGAGACCATATTCTTAAGTGAAATAAATCAGACCCACGTGTTTAAACCTGCATTGTTTCTCTGGTGTGAAAAACTGAAAGTGGAAATAAGGACCAAAATGTATCATAGATATTGGGAAATGGGAAGAAAATGATCAAGTGGGAAGGGGAACAAGGGAGGGAGGAAGGAGAAAGGAAGAAAGAAACAAGAAAAAAAAGTGAAAAAAGGAGAAAATGGAAACAAAGCTTTTGTACATGGGGAGGGCTTGAAGGGAGTGGGAGGATAGGAAAAAAGAGGTGGGATGTACCATGTACAGGTGCAAATTCCCTATGATAAGTGTTATCATTATGTATGCCTAAAATGTACCGATAAATGTTTTGTTATAAAACAAATTGACTTTTGTCCAGGTGTGGTGGTGCATGCCTGTAATCCCAGCACTAAGGAGGCTGAGGTAGGAGGATCACAAGTTCAAGGCCAACCTGGGATACTTAGATATGTCTGAAACAATAAAGGGCTGTGGTGTAGCTCAGTGGCAGAGTGCTCCTGGGTTTGATCTCCAGTACTGCAAAAAGAAAAATATCCAGGTGAGAGAAGATGGCTTAGACTACTTCAGTAGAGACACTTGTTCCTATTTACAGGAAGAAAGTGATAACATACTTTCTGGCTGGTCTGTGTAGAGTCTAAAATGGAGAGCTTAGAAGCAGCCTGTTTGTAAGACTGCCAGTGGAGAAAGACTGAATTTAGTGAATAAAGGGTTTCCTCCCTAGAGTGGTAGACAGTCGCATCTTACCTGAATGAAAAAAGAGCTCTCAAGCTCTTTTGATTCTCTGCTTACCAAGCAGCCAAAGTTCCTCAATCGATGCCCTGGATACTGTAAGTATTTTGTTCTCAAGAAAAAGAATGACACTCATTAGGTATGAATATTTGATATCAATCTCTTATGACTACAGTATGAATCACACAGACACAGACACAGATACATGCACATGCGCGCGTGCACACACACACACACACACACACACACACTTTCTGAGCTGAGAACCAGAAGAAAGTGATTCCATCAGATTGGACCATATTGTGTACCCTATTGGGAGGAGCTGGCCTATTTTCTATTTTGCTTCTAGTTTACTCTACTTTCTGTCTCCCATGTAAGATACTAATTCTGTATCATTCCTCTGCATGTGACTCTTCAAGGCCCTTCTAAACTCTTTCCTCCCATGTATTCCCCAGGAAAATAAACAAGACAGGATGACTGCAATGAAATTTAGACAGCACAATGACTCTGTGGGTGTCCTTGTGCATGTGTGTGGTACGGAGATTGAATCTAGGGACTTTACACCGAGCTACACCCCCTTTTAAAAATTTTCTATTTTGAGAGAGGATCTAGCTAAGTTGCTAAGTTGCCCAGGCTGGCCTCAAACTTGCAATCCTCTTGCCTGAGCCTTCTAGAGTGCTGGAATTACAGGTGTATGCCACAATACCTAGCTGAGACAGACTTCCGAAGATTGGTATGGCACTGTTTGAAGCATGATAACCAAATTCTACTTAAATTGTTGGATAATACACATTGTCAGCTCCCATGAGTTCACCATACCATGAATTGAAACTGATTTGAAGACAATGTTAATGTGCCTTGCCATGAAGCAAAAATCCTTAATTGTAGCTCTGGAAATAGCCAGTGTATGACCACCCTGAAATTTTCCTTGTTCCCTAAGCAAGTCTCTCTCTCTCTCTCTCCCTCTCTCCCTCTCCCCCCCCTCCCCCCCCATGAAGATCCCTAGGAAGAATATCTTCTCTTTCATTGTCTATGTAATGTTTTATGAGAGAGTTCAATGTCATTTTCTCTGCAAAGCCTTTCCTGGGTCTACCCTGTATTCAATCTGTTTTTGTACTTGCACACTGTGAAAGGAATTTCATCTTAACAGGGATTGCATTTTAACACCAGTGCATAGGCAGGAATTACCAATGGTAAAAATTACCCTTGGAAATCCCTTTGGATGAGGCCACCAGGAGACTGCTCTATTTTATTGTCTTTTGTTGATCAGCATAGCCAGTTTTTCTCCAACATGGCAACAATCACTGTTTCTTTATTTGCACACTAAATGAAAAAAACTTTTTTGAGATGAGGTCTTGCTATGTAGCTCAGGCTGGCCTTGAACTTACTACGTAATTCAGGATGGCCTCAAACTCATGGCCTCAGCCTCCCGAATGCTGGGATTACAGGCTTGGGCCACTATTCATGGCATGAAATATTTTGTTCAGATGCCCAATAGGTGTTTCACATGATCATATTTATCATAGCAAAAATAGACATACCGCAAGGCTTGGGTAATCTTGAGACCTGCTAAGAGATCTGTTTATGCCACCTCCCCTGCAGGGCCCTCTCCTCTCACTTTCCCTCTCTCCACAGAGTATGCATTCATCGAATGGAATGTCCCTCCTTTTCCCTCCCTGGCAAGATGATATGATCTAAAACAGTGCTTCTGAATCACTCAGGTCAAATCCCTAGGGATTATCACAGTGCTTATCATAGAGTAGGTATCAGGAAATGTTGGATAAAATTAAATAGTCTCCTTTATGTCTATCATCATCCTTGCTCAATGCTGAGTAACTAATGCTGGAGGCCCCTGGGATGCACATTTTTCTTATGCCAAGGACCAGCACAGGCCAGTCTAGTTCTGCAAGAAAGTCTACAGCAGTGGTGGTGAACCTATGGCACCCATGCCACAGTGGGCTGTTTGTTATCACTGAACCCTAAAGGCTCACCATCACGGGTCTAGAGTATGGCCCTCAAACAGCACTTCCATTTTGTTATACCCTGTCCGACTTCTTCAGCATGGACCTTTAGACAGTAGTCCTAATCTCCCTCTCTTCTTTTCCCACCCTCTTCCATTCCAATCTATCTTTTCCTATATGGCTACTTACGGTCTTCAGCCCGCTGAGCAAGCACCATAACCCCAGGGAATTTTTTGATTGCGGGGGCAGGGAGGATAGTACCGGGGATTGAATTCAAGGCTTCATGCATGCTAGGCAAGTGCTCTACCACTGCGCCACACCTTCAACCCCCAGACACAGTATCTACTGCTGGGCACCATGTACAATCTGGGACCCACTGAATAGACAGCCAGCCCTCAAAGGGTAATTTCAATATAGTTCTCTGTTAATTCACCACCACACACATGAGGGAAACAGTGGTTCTCTGGAAAAGATTGGAGTCCATCACATTTCAAGTGTGGAAGTAAATCCTGATGTGGGCAAGGGACTCTGGCAATCGGAGCAGCTGCAATAGTGCTCAGAGGAGCAATCCCTCTTCATGTCAGGCTTTTGGGAAATGATCATCCCCTCCAGGTCTTTCATTTTGTTTTCCACCATCTGAAGTTTTTTCAGAATTTTCTCCTGCAGACCCAAGGACAGGAAGACGTCACTACTGTCTTGAAACTGGCGTTCAGCCTCTTCTGGATTGGCTAGCAAAGCCTGAAAAAAATCTGAGCCCTTCTTGTAAAGTTGGTAGAGTGTGACTATAAACAACAATATTTTCTAAAACAAAACACAAAAGTTGAGTGTTACTTGTTCGTTCATGTGAAATGCCAATTTACCATAGATGTGAAACACAGCCAAAGATCTAATACAGTAGTAACAAAATTCATACCTTTGCCAAGCCCTCCCTTTAACAAAACATTTGCATACCTATTTAATCTTTTGGGGTTTTTGTTTTTGTTTTATTTGAGCCATACAGGGTCTCACTGTGTAGCTCAGGCTGGCCTTGAACTCATGGTGATCTGCTTGCCTGTCTCCTTAGTGCTGGGATTACAGACAGTACCACCATGCCCAGCTATTTAGTCTTTTGATTATTAGCATAAACTGGAGCAATAAGCAGGTCATATATTTTATTTGCATTTAATTAATAAAGGTTATAATAATAAACATCACTTGGTTAAAGTCTGTCACATCCTGGGCTCTATGCTAGAAGCTACCTCGCCCATCCATGCATGACTTATTTCTGCAGAAAAACACAGAACAAGATAACCATTTAGATACCTTCCAGTTTGGACCCTGTCATTATCTAAGGTCATATGTTGGAAATGATAGAGGCAGGAGTGGAATCTAGTATAATGATCTGAAAAATTAAATTTTCTGGTCATGTAAAAAAAGTTTTAATATACTAGGACAGATTCTTGCTGGGATACGAATAAAACAAACCATCCTTTTCCTTATCATAATAACTAGCACTGTTTATTGGATGTGCATATGCTAAGTTTTGTACATGTTCCATCCCCTTTAATACTTACAACAACTTGTAAGAGCAGTCCTGCTAGCAACCCCGTGTTACAGGAAACTGGGCTTAGTGATTGTTCTCAGGGCACAGAGCAAAGTTCAACAGATTTAGGTCTAAGCAATCTGACTCTAGAGCCCACACTCCAAACCACTCTTACACTACCTCCTTTATTGCCTGGGGTGTGTGAAGAGCTGAAAGCCTATCTTTTCGATTGAGTAAACTCAGAAAGTTTGCTTTCTTACCTTATATCCTCTTATTAGTTAATTAAAATTTATATATACACACACTCCTGTTGAGTAGTCAGTTGATTATACTAAATGGATTTGGGGGAACTAAATTTAGAGCCCTAAAAATTGTGTTTGAGAGCCAGGTGTGGTAGTATCTGCCTATAATCCCAGCACTTAGGAGGCTGAAGCAGGAGGATCTCAAGTTGGGATATGAGAATAAAATGGACAGATGAGAAGGGGAACAAAGTGGGGGAGGGGAAGGAAATAAGGAACAAGAAAAAAAAGAATAGAAGGAAAAAATGGAAACAGAGCTTTTGTAAATAAGGAGGGGAAGAGGGATCAAAGGGAGGGGAGGGGAATGGGAAAAAAAGAAGCAAGATATATCATGTACAGGTACACATTCCCTATGATTAATGTTATCACTATGTTTATCTAAAATGTGCCAATAAATGTCTTGTTTCAAAAGAAAAAGTCTGAAGCCAGCCTGGGGTACATAGTAGACTTTGTCTCAAAAAAGACAGAGGGAAGGAGGGAGGGAGGGAGGGAGGCAGAGAGAGAGAGAGAGTTTAAATCCCAGTTTTACCAGCTCTGACAAACTATATGAATTTGGGCAGTTGATAACAAAGTTACTTCATATGAAAAATGGATGATGATCCCATCCTTGCCTACTATGCTGGGTTTGGAGAATTTAAAATAGAAAATGCATGTGAATATGATTCCTAAACAATAATAATATATGAAAATAAGCAAATGCTAGAAAATAATCCAGTAATAATTTCTTTCATTATCAAGGTTATTTCAGTATAACTTTCATTTATCAAGTTAACCACTCAAGAAAGCTCTTTTCATCCTGTTTCCTTAAATTTTCATTGGACCTCAATATATCCGTTTCCTCATTTGTCACATGAAAATAACCTCTGTCCATGTCATCCATTAATGGGATTTCCCTAAACACTTTGAGCATATTATAAATAAGCTATTATTATTGATGATTACACAGAAGTTACGTAAAATACTAAATATTTATTACAATCCCAGCTAGTTTGTTTTTTGTTTTTTTGGTACCGGGGATTAAACTCGGGACCTTGCACTTGTGAGGAAGGTGGCAGAACCACTGAGCCAAATCCCTGCAATCCCAGCTAGTTAAAGTCATATTCCCAAGAGAAGATTCTCTGTGTATTTATGAAGGTCTTATTAAAACAATGAAAACAGGGCCAGGGATTTAGCTCAGTGGTTCTGCCTGCCTTGCAAGCTCAAGGACCCAAGTTCAATTCCTGGTATCAAAAAAACCCCCCAAACAAACAATGAAAACATTGTGATGACTTAATGAATACAAATAAAGCACAATGGCATAGTAAGAGCAGAAAGGCCATACCCAATATCCCAGTTAAACACCGTGTCTATTCTATACCATGCTAGGCACTCAAAGATGAATACATAATCAGGTAAGTTTGGGGATAAGAATGCCTTCTCAGGTAGTGGGGTTTAGAAATCTACTTTATGATAGCAGACAAGCCAAAGATCATTGTCAAAAAAGAGCATTTTTATGCTCAAATCCTAATTGGTAGAGGTTTTCAAGGATAACTTAGTTTCAACCAAGTTAAGAGACAAGGGTTCATCCTTGCCTATCTACATAGTCTTAAAACTGGGTGGCAGCAACATCGTAGAGAACTAATCAAAATTCAATTATCCTGGGTGCAGTGGCATATGCCTGTATCCCAGCACTCAAGAGGCCACCCTGTCTCAAAAAAGGGGGTGGGTTGGATGCAGTTCAGAGGTAGACCACTCCTGAGTTCAATCCCCAGTACCACAAAAATTCAATTTATAACTATTTATATTTATCTATAGCAAAAAATTACAACCTGAAGTGACTGAATGCTTTGTTTCCATAAGGCAATTAATCCTATTCCCAACAAAATAAAAAAGGTAACCCGTAGGATGACTTGGACAACTGAAGCAAGATTATCTATCAGCCCCAAATTTGTTTGCTGAGGCATAGTTGTCTCTCCCAGAAAAGTTGTTTGTATCCAATTCCATATCATGTTGAGAGAGAGAGAATCTAAGAGGCTGTTCCAGGTAGAATATGAAGGTGAAGATGATGACATTTTAAGACAATAGCAGTTCCAGGAACTACATGTGCTGAGGTTTCAGGGCTTTAGACCTGAGTTAGGAGGAGCAGTCTTGCAGTCCAAGTGTTCTGGAGCCATTGTGAGCTGTGCTTTGTGATGTCACTTTTCCAAAGGTTGGCTCGCTTCTCACTTATCCAGTTAACCTTCTCACTCAAACCAGCCACTGGTCTGTCTTTTCACTTCATTCATATTACTGTCACTGATTTTTGGCTCTTTTGCCTCCAGCACAGCACTGCCCAATAGAACTTTCAGCAATGATGGGAATGTTCCTTCTCTGCCTCATCCAGTGTGGTGCCCAGAAGCCATTTGAAATGAGAATAGTGTTGCAGAAGGACTAAATTTCACATTTTAGTTTTAATTAGTCACATGTGGCTAATGGTTACCCTCTTGGACAGTGCAATTACGGAACTTTCCCAATAATTCCATAAAAATGGAAAGTAGGTATTTTTACATGACATGAAAAAGCTGAGATGCATCGAGGCCGAGAAGAAATCTGAGGAGACAGGATTTAAAAAGCACTTTCTTAAATAGTAGGTAAATAGCTGGGTCAAATGGGACATCTAGCCCTAGTTCTTTGAGGTATCTCTTTACTGATTTCCACAGTGGTTGTACCAGTCTACACTCCCACCAACAGTGAAGGGTTCCTTTTTCCCCACAACCTCATCAGCATTTGTTATTGGTTGATTTCTTGATAGCCATTCTTTCTGGGGTGAGGTGGAATCTCAGCGTTGTTTACATCTGCATCTCTTGAATGACCAGTGATGTTGAATATTTTTTCATATGTTTATTTGCTGCTTTTACTTCTTTGTCTGAGAAATGTCTGTTCATTTCAGATGCCCATTTTTGAATTGGGTCTTTGAATTTGGGGAGTCTGATTTTTTTAGTTCATTATATATTCTAGATAGTAGACCTTTGTCTGAGGAACAGCTGGTAAAAATTTTTCCCACATTGTGAGTTGTCTCTTAGCTCTGTTGGTGGTTTCTCTTGCTGTGCAGAAGCTTTTAAGAATCATACCACAGCGATATATGTGCACCCATGTTCATAGTGGCACAGTTTGTAATAGCTAAAACTTGGAAACAGCCCAACTGTCCATCAACTGGAGACTGGATAAAGAAAATGTGTGTTTTTTTTTTTTTTATAAAATGGAGTACTACTCAGCCATAAAGAATGAGAAACTAGAGACATTTATAGCTAAATGGATGCCCATTGAGGCCATACTCTTAAGTGAAATAAACAGGACACACAAGTGTAAATACTGAATAGTTTCTCTGGTGTGAGAAACTGAAAGCGTAAATAAGGATCAAAATGTATAACAGATAATATGAAATAGGAAGAAAAGGTCCAAAGGCGAAGGGGAAGTAGGAGGAGTAGAGAAAAGGAAAGAAGGGAAAGGAATAAATATGAGAAAAGGAAAAAATGGAAGCAAAGTCTTTGTAAATAGGGAGAGATTGACGGGAGGGCAGGGGAATGGGGAAAACAATAAGAACCAAGAGAGATTATGTAAACGTGCAAATTCCCAACAATGAATGTCATCATATTGTATACCTAAAATGGACCAATCAAATTAATGAATGGAAAAAATTAAAATTAAATAGTAGGTAAATGTGGATAGTGGTTAGGACCAGATCATTAGTAGTGTTCCCTTCCTTTCATGTCACTATTAATTAGAAATTGGGATTTTTAGGAAGACTTTTCACATATTTGAGCCTCATTTTATTTGCAGATGAGCATTCTACTTCCTTTACAAGATTTGCATTAGGAACAAAAGGTATATTTTTCCAAAGCATTTTGTAAACAATAGGATGCTACACTGTAACCTATAGGACATATTATCAATTATTCACTGATAGTACTCATCTACTCTGCAAGGAGGTGTTAAGACTGAAAATATATGGCCTGTTTCCAAAAAACTGTCATTAAGAAAAAAAGTTCACAAACAAGTATATGAACTGTGAGATCAAATTGCAAAGACATCAAGAATTCAAGAGTTCACATGAGGAGTAAGTGCACAATCAGGAAGGAAAATAATGGTCAGCTGTGACAATTTAAAAAAATATATTGTCTAACAAGATGGAGACATAGGCACCATATGTTTTAATTTGTTCATTCTAGCTAACTTAGAGAAAGAATAGAAATAGAGAAGCCTAGTGAAGAAAGAATGTTTTGTTCTGACAGGAAATAGAGGTGTTATGGTAAATTGCTTGAGCAATCAGAGCCACATCAGAAAACGGGGCCTAGAATGCTATTGGAAATGGAGTGTTATGTCAGAGCAAAATGACTGTTTTAGGAGTGACTGCCATTCATGTTTTGGGTTTTTTTCATATACCAATAGCATTTATTGTTTTGGTAAAAACAAGCAATGTTAGTAAGATTTCACTGTGAGGACACAACATACCCTACATTATTTTCTGATGAATCCACCAGATTCCAAGATCACCTTTCCAGGCTTCTGGACTACTTCCTTCTACTGCTATCAGTACACAGACACAGAGTGTTAATCTTGACATTGAAACAGTAGTCTTTAGGCTTCACCAGACAACATTAGCAACATAAAATAAGAAAACATACACAAGGCATCCCAAAGTGAGACAGTCCATGGGTCTAAGATTTTCTAAATATCAGTTCCTTAGAAGGCAGTGACGCTTCTCATCTTTGGTATCTGCACTGTTCATGCTCTTGCTTCTTCAGATCTACTGAACAGCCCCATCTATGACCACTCCTACTTCTTACCCACCTTACCTGTTTCATTTATCATCTCTGAACTTACTATCCAACATTAAAACAAAAAAATTAAGTACAGACTTGTTTTTCTGTGTTTTCTTCCCCCATGAAGATGGGATATTAGTGCCTAGCACATGATACACATTCCAAATCACATAATTTGCTAATGAAACTTGAGGCTGTAAGCACAATTCCCCTGGCCCATAGATGAGAAAATAATTCATCTAAGGGAATCTGAAGGAATAAAGCAAACTAAAGAGAACAGACCTTACAAGGTCCTTGCAACTGATGTCCCTGCTGCATAGTAGTGATGAACACAGGCCATACACATGGACAAAGCTGGATTCCAGATCACTTATTAGTGACAACATGGGCAAAATCACCTCTCCACGCCTCAGTTTACCACTATGAAACAGAGATGATAACAGCACCAACAGTGTTATTAAATGTGGCAATGGGTGTGAAATACTACAGTATATAGCAAAGTGTTTACACACCTGAACAAACACCATCACTACTGCTACACTCATCTCACTTAGGCTCCATAGCTTACTTCCTAGTATCTCCCAAATAATTCATGCTGAGACTGGTTATCTACTAAGTCCATACAACTGAGAAAGAAGGAGATGGAAGAAATAAAATGTTCCCATAAACAAGAACAGCAAAAAAGGAAGAAAATGAAAAATTGTAAAAACCAGATTCCCAAGGTTCTGCATCACAGCTCGCACCAGTCCATGAAGACACCTGGCCTCAAGGAAAAGGCTCAGTCACATCTAATATACTGTTTGAAGATGGCAAGAAAATATAATTGTAAAATTAGGTACGTTAACTTCAAAATTTATGCAATCTTTTGCATTAAAAAGAATCTTTCCTTTCCTTCAGAGTTTACCTTTTAGAGAAACGGGAAAAAGTAAATGAGACATATTATGTGAGTGGCCTGGACAGCTCTGCTGTAAATACCCAGTCTCCCTACAGCCATGTTTGCTGTTTTTGGTGAGATCATTCTTCCCTCAAGTCTCTATGCCAAGTGTGGACTTCAGGAAAGCAGTTAACAGTTCCATGCACTGTCTCAATGACACTGCTACCACCTTGTAACAAGTCTGTCTTTATTAAACCTAACTTCCTTTGGGAACAGAATAAGAAAGGCCCTCAGATTAGTTTAAAAATCGAATGTTAAAATCAAAACCACATTCCAAATTTCTTAAAAGATATTTTTTGTTCAATTCTTTTGTAAAAACATTGGTCACCATTTAACATACAGCAGCAACAAAATGCACCCAGTTTACATGCATCAAGTCAATAAACGGTAATACATGGACAACACGAATTTCAAACAGTACTAAAGTGGTAGGAATAGCAAATATGAGAAACAAGAAGTTCCAGTTTCAGTCTGAAATAAGATTCTTTGTGTAAGTAACATGAAACAATGGCTACAGATCATTCGCCGAAAAAGAACCATTCTTCAGAAATCGCTTGTGCAGAGCACCATATTAGAGCAGGACAAGATCCTGAAAAATGTCCACCTCCAAGTTAATGACAGAAGGGCTTCTTTTGAAAATTAATTCTCTATGATTCAAATTTTTTATTGTGACTGTAAAATAAATTATCTTTCAGTATGAAGGTTCTATAGTCCATATTTCGGCAACTTAAATAATTCTGCAGATTTTCAATTAAAGTGACAGATTCTGATAACTATTCTGTAAATAATATAAATTCCATTAATAGTAGAACTGGATTATTTTTAAGAATAAAAATAGAAAACAAAAGTTCTTTCTAAACTTATAGGCCAAGTTTCTGGATATGGGACTTAAATTAGGCACCAAAATT